ACAGCAGGCCAAAACATCACACTCATTTTTCTAGCATATTTGTGTCAAAACTTCCACACTGGCTCTTTTTTGTGATAATTTAGAGGGAAGGATGGGACCATATTACCAATTTCCCACTTTCCCATTTCTGAGTATGAGGCTCCCTGTCAAATCTGACTTCAGCCTTTCTTGACATGGGGAGTAGCTATCCTTTTTTGTTTATAATATTATTTTCCTTGAGGAAAATCTTGATCTCGACCTTCTGCAGTTTATTATTGGCTGGGCCTGTGAGGCTGGTCTCCAGTTCATATTGACCTGTTCATGGCAATATTTATTTTTTTTTTTAAACATAATAATTCCTCAGGATTTTAAGAAGAAAGCAAAGAGGACCTGCCAATCAAGAGATCTATCATGACTGGCAATCCGTGTAAGAGACTTGCCTGGAGTGACTGTGAGTATTTCAGGACTATTTTTTGCATAGATTCCATGTTTTCCTGGATAACTTCCAGTTTCATTTGCAGCACTGTGGTGTGCATGCTGTTAACCGTGTACAAGCCATTCTGAAGCTGTGCTACTCTCACCTGTGCTGTATATGGGATGCTGTGCTGGCCCTTCTGCATTTTCAGAGGAGGAAACGGAATGGAGTGACTATTAACAGTGCCTTATTATGAACAAAGCTCAAACAGCTGCAAACCTTCACCTGTCTCTCTCTAGAGTTAACATCTGTCACTGCTGCTTCTGTATTGAGTGGAGGAGGAGGGTTGGTAAAATGACAACCTCTACAGGCGTGCCAGCCCAGCCCCCTGCTCATAGGACTGATGGCTGTGAAAGAGCTGGTGCCAGTCTGCATCATATAGAAGCCTACTGACACTGAAGGATTATTTCTGAAGATAATAGTCTCATTTCCTTTTGTATTTTTAACTGAGGAACAGTCTATCTAATGAATCTTTGTAACTAGGTCAGTTATTGTAGTATTTGATCTTAGCAGAGAGTTCTGCCCAGTTTGATCCAATGCACTACATTTACAGCCAGCTTACAGTAGATGGGCAGTGGAGGACTGGGATACTCCAGATAATGTCGATGCTGGGGAAAATGGACAGAAAGTTCACAGAAAGTAAACTTAGATACAGCAAGGATATTTAGTCAACTAGAGCCAGCTTAGCTCATGCAGAGTATTTTGGGAATGAACAGGAAATACCAAAGTACTCCTAGAACCTCTGTGCTGAGGAACAGAGGCATTACTGTTGTCATCACTTCCATTTCTGCCTCAGCCACTCCAGGCTCTGGGCTGTCTCTGCTGCCAGTTGCAAATGGAACTAGCCCAGCCAACTATACATCAGTGCTGAGATACGTTTGTTGTTCTGTAGAATTTACAGTAAAACTGGATCTTCCTGACAATGATTTCCTGTGCATGCACATGATCCATCACAGCCTGGAGCAGATACTATCAGAACCATCATTTACACTTGAGGTGAATGCTGTGAGGAGGGGGAGTGTCACCAGCCTTGCAATAAAGTCAGGATCTGCTGCAGGTGCTGTTACTGCTTATGGTAGGAGTTCAACATAGAGTTGTTAAGAAATCCTTTTCTATTGCATAATGCTTCTAATCTGTATGACAATCTTTGAATGCCTGTTATGAGTTCTGATTCCCAAGACTTAGGAAAGGTGCCTTAGGAGCTGGAAGAATTGCCATTTAGCAAATTTGACTTAGATTCAGGGCTTGGATTTCACCTTAAGAGACACATTTTCTTTGATAAGTTGAAGGTAAATGTCCATGGATGAATAAAAAGACATAACAACAAGTAGATGGGTAGGACTGAGAGCAGCTTTCCAGATTAAGAACTTTGTTCACTATAACAAAAGAAAATGAGATGAGCAATATGTGTACAGAGTACCATGGAATTACAGGTAAAGGAGACAATTCAGTTGAATCATTTGGTTAAAGTATAAATGTGTGTCCCTCATTTCTCTTTGCAACAGATGCCTTTGATTCACAGCACAGACAAGATCCTGAAGATTCCCACAAGGCGCACAAGAAGAAATTTTTAAAAGAGAAGGAAAGGAGACTGTCAGTGAGTCAGTGGGACACAGATATACAACCCCTCATTTCATCTTCTAAATGGCTTCAGCTTCACGGGCTCAAAAGAAACAAATTGTCCCTATCCCAGATTTTGTCACGGATTGGATTCCAGCACAGGAAAGGTACAAAAGAAATCAATAATAGAATAATAATAAACCCTCTGACTTTGAATATCAGTCTCTAGGGTCACACTCATTTTGCACCCCAGTGTACATAGCAGATATTTTCATGTTGTCTCTTATCTTATGATAATGGAAAAAAGGGAAGTTATAGCCACAGTTGCTGACATTGCCAGTGCGAGAAGTGAGGAACCCCATCTCCTTTTGATCTGAGAAGGGCTTTCCTTACTCAACTGTACCATTGTTTTACCCTAGGCCCCAGTTCAAATCTCTCCAATTTAGCTAGAACTAGCAAATAATTCATGCTGCTGAGGCTGTTAGTTGTTTTCCTGAAAATAACACACCGTAAGATCTCTTGTCCATTTTAAGATGGCAAATGTAATGTATGCCAGCCATAATCTGTGATCTACTAGCTGACCATCAAGGCTAGCTAACCTGTTTGGGAATAGTATATTATTTCCAGGGATCCAGCTTTAAGGAAGCTGTTAAATTTGATTAGAATTCAGGCTGCTTTTCGTGCAAAGTCAGGCTGTAGAAAAATGTTCCTTTGCAGTTATCTGACAGCTGGAGGGGAAGAGTTTGCTAATAATTATTAATCACTGCCATAATAGCGCTTTGCAGAGCATGATAAGATATTCTTTTCTTTGAACAGCTTGCTGCCTGAGAAGTAGGAATTGTAATGTATTGCGATTGTTCTTGGTTGCATAATTTAAGATTTTGGCTGGCTTGTGTCCACGGGGCATTCAAAGATCAACGGTGCAGATCCTGAAATCCTGTATGCTGTAGATGAAGAAGAAGCAGTTAAGCAGGGTTAATGTTGTTACAGTGTAATTTTAGGAGCAGAATGTACTAGTTTAGCAGGACAGCATGCTGTACAGAATAGCTGCTTTGTGACGTTAAATATTCCCACCCCTGGTGTTTTCCTATCAGTGGAGATCCTGTAGAAGATTTCTAGCTACTGAAAGAGCAGAGTGCAACCTTTTCCTGAGTTGCACCCACTTCTGCACCTGTTTAGTTGTGTAAGAGGACAGCATTATCTGTACCAGATTTTGTATTTTGTTTGATGGACAAATATTTGCAAGTCCTGTTGTGAGGTAAATGGATAATACAGAAGTTTAATTGCCTAAACCTTTCATTTACTAAAGTCCCCTGTAGCTTTTTGGCCTATGAACAATTGAATGTGGGTTTTTTTCCCCTGTTCAGACTAAACTGGCAGGGAGTAGCAAGAACAGGGCTGCTTCAAGGCAGGTAAATGAGCCAGGAGCCAAATGGGACCACAGCCTGGGCAGTGCCCTCACTGACCAGGATGCAGCTCTGAAGCATCTAAGCACCACAGGGTGCTGCTAACAGTGTCCACAGACAGTCCCAGACAGGGTGAGTTGATGAACCATGTCCAGGGTCCAGCCAGGGGGCACAGCCAGGAGCAACAGGAGATGGAGCCAGAGACAAGGCCACAACACAGATCTTAGAGCCACATCCAAGAGACAGAACTGGAGATGTGGCTATGATATAGGGCTGGGAGATCTATCCAGGAGAGATGTCCACTAGCAGAACTTGAGACAAGTACACCTACAACACACCTAAAGCAAAGACTGGGTGCCCAGACCCGTGTGCCCTGTGGGTGGAAACCCCAGGTGAGGCTGATCAGTGTCATCAAGGCCTGTTGGTGCCCTCAGGGCCCCATCATAGACATAGCCAGAAAAAAATTGTAAAACAAAAGCATAATTAGAATTTCTCTCAAGTTTCTTAATGTCAAGAGTTCAATACAGATGCATGTGCCTTATACATGGATGGTATGCTGAAAAATATCTGTTTGAAGTAATCCTTATGATTAGCAACTTGATCTTTTGTAACCTTCACTGTAGATTATGTGACCACCTTGGGGAAACTTGTGGCTTCTCGGTATGCAGATGGTCTGTTTCCTCAATACAAGAGAGCACAAGATGGCAGCGTGTATAATGTAAGTGTGACTGACTTGTGCTAACTTCCCTGTGCGCTTAGAAGTTATTATGACTGTAGCAGAATGATGTGACTAAAATGTCCTCCTATGGCATGAAATACTTACATTCTTTGTGAGAACTTTATCTTTTTATCTTTGTTTTGTTTTGTCAAACTGTTAATGATAACAATCAGTGGTAGAGAAGCTAGATATCTCTTTTTTTCCTTGCAAAGTCTTATGCTTTTGCCTTGGTGCAGCATTGCAGTAAATCTTTACAGACAAGACTGCAGTTTCTAAGCAACATTTACCCTGTCTTGAAAGAGGGAACTCTTAAAAAGAAGATGCTCTGGCGAGTTAAAAAAAATAAAATCCTAGTCAATAAAACAAATGGGGGTACTGAAATAAGAAGACATAATGCGTTGTCATTGCCAATGCAAAGCACTGCTTTGCTTAGTGCCAGCAGGTCACAAAAGGCTCAGCCTACTCTATAGAGACAGCTAGCTGGATCTCTGCCCAGGCTCATGTTCTAAGGAATGTCTTAGCAACAGCTGCTGGCGGCCCCATTGTTAAGAGGATGGATTCTGATTGAAGAGATACGCATGTGAGCGAGGAGGGGAGAGAGTTAATTCATAAAGGATTTTACAAAAGCAAATGGCTCATCATTTTTTCTGATAATTAGAGTAATTTCTGAGGCACAATGCTTTAAAATGGGAAAAGAACCTTTTCAGGGAGCCTTTTCCTCTCATTTTTTCCCATTAATTCCTTATGAAATATCTACATAATGTCTTTTAATCTTAGGATATGCTGCAAGCAGTAGGAAAGACATTTCTAGTAGCACTAAGGTAGCAGTGCCACTGTACAATATCTGGTGAGATCTCATTTAGGATATTGTGTGCAATACTGTGTACAGTTACCACAGGTTGCGAAGAAGCTATTCAGACCAGGAAAGGTATTGGGAAGAGCTAGTAAGATGAACTGCGATGCAGTGCTGGTCTTATAAGAGGGCTTGGTTGGTGTTATCATATATAAGTAAGAAGACTGACAAAGGATAGCATTATAGCCCTGAATGCCTACAGAAAGGCAAATCACAGGGATAGGGAAAAGCTATAGTTTTCTATGCTAAAAGGCATGCTAGTCCAAGAATAAATGGGTATGAGCTCCCGTGAATAAATTTAGGCTAGACAGTCAGAAGTTTTCCAGCCCTCAGGGAAATGGGAATCTGGACTGGCCAACTACAAGTGAAGGGGTGGTGCAAGAAAACTGCATTATTTTAAGATGGAGTTTGATCAGTGTAGTGCAATAAGCTTCTTTGTATGGGCCTGGCTGTCATAAGAGGAAACTGGATTTTCTAAGTGCTTCTTCCCAGGCCTACATTCCTTTGGCAGACAGCCTGAGACTCTATCTGGGAGGCACATTACAGGGCCCTAGCTGACATTAAAGAACAGAAAAAAATACAAATGAGAGGAAGAAGTGTGCAGATTGATACACAAAATATCCTCTTCCTGAGAAATGTTATTGTTTTAAAACATTTGTATCTCCAAGGTTTTGTACTTAGTCCCAGGAGGGTAGTTAGAGGTAGAAGGTAGCTGGTAAATTCTGACATGGGTCAGAGATATTGGGGGAATGTCTTTATACTGGAACCTGTGGTGATTTTTTAAACTCACAGACCATTTTGCATGATGCATGTGTATACATATGTTCATAGGGAGGGTCTGCTGATTTTAATTTTAATACCGAATCTAAGATTTTCTTAATTTACTGATATGGCATGGGAGTTTTCAGTTGTTGATTGCAGTTGTCTGAACCTAATTTGCCTAAGCACCTACCCACAAATAGTTAATCTGTACTTCTGGGCATTGTTAATGAAATAATGCTACAAACAGGAAACATTTTACATTTTTCTTTCAAATGCTAAAGACAAGGTGGAGATTGAAGTGCCCCAGAAGTAAACCATAAGCTCCCTTGTATCGCTGTACAAAATTTTAAGAGCCAGTCAAAATTCTAGTCTAAGAGGGTACAAAGTTTCTGTGTCCTTGTTTGTTCACCCATCTGCTCTACAGTCCTTTCTACATCTTAGCCTGTGTTCAGCTCATTCTAATTGCTCCAGTCTTGAGACAAGCAAGTCAGACAACCCACTGGCACTGTCCCATGCTCATATAAAAAGATTATGAAAAGCAATTAGGACAAAATGCAGTGTCTTTTCTTTATAGCTTAGATGCATTTGTCAAGTATTTGCTCTTGAAATAGTGGAAGAAAAATGGGTTGTTTTCACTCCTACCTTGGCTGGCATATCTGGCACTTGCAAACCAGCTATTGCAGCTGTGCTAAGCTTGGGGCTGCATTTGTCTTATTTGTTTTGATGTTCAGTTTCTTTCTCTCCTTATTTAAATAAAGCTGACAGCCAAAAAAGAACTTATTCTTCATTTTGTGGATTGTCTAATGAGAGCTATTGAGCTATATAAGCAGCGAATGGAATGGTTAACCAGTGAGAGCCGGCAGATATTTGGAGTGATTCAAGAACAGTGCATTGTAATTGTTTTGGATTTTGGCACGGCAGCTCCAACTGAATTTGATCTATGTCGGGATGCACTTTCTATGGTACTTGTGGAACAGGTGACCCAAGTTGCCAAATTCAACCTCATTCGGTAAGCAGAAAGAATCAATCATAGAATGGTTTGGGTTGGAAGGGACCTTTAAAGCTCATCTAGTCCAGTCTCCCAGCAATAAGCAGGGACATCCTCAGCTAGATCAGGTTGCTCAAAGCCCTGTCCAGACTCACCTTGAATGTTTCCAGGGATGGGGCATCCACAGCCTCTCTGGGAAACCTGTCCCAGTGTTTCACCACCCTCATTGTAAAAAATGTCTTCCTTATATCTAGTCTGAATCTACCTTCTTTTAGTTTGAAAACATTACTCGTCCTATTACCACAGGCCCTACTGAAAAGTCTGTTCCCATCTTTCTTATAAGCCCCCTTTAAGTACTGAAAGGCTGCAGTAAGGTCTCCCCAGAGCCTTCCCTTCTCCAGACTGAACAAAGAAGTCCATGTCTGCCCATTGCTGGAGAATAAAAAGGAGTCACATATCACGTAGACATGTGTTTGGATAATATGCGTTCTGTAGTGAAAATTGTCCTGATTTGTGTCATGGTAATATCTATAGATTTTCCACCAAGTTTCACCCACAGTCATGCTGAGCTTGCTACTTCCATTTAACAGACCATTGTTACCCTGAAGAACTGAGAAAGACTAACAGAACCTAAATAGTGATATATGCCTTCTACAAATGTAGCACAGGAAAACAGAAAGATCAGGGGGTCTTTGCAATAGTGGGAATGATTTTCAGGCATCTAAGCAGTACAGATTGAAACAGTGAGGTCCCATCTGACTGCCTAGGCACTCTTGTGTCTTTAGGCATTACAGGTTTCTGCCTTACAGCTAAAGGTTCACTCCCCCAAGTGCCATAGACACAGGCGTAGTCATTTGTATTTCTATAGATCTCCATGGTCACAGAAATCAGTAGCAGAAGTAGGAAACAATACTATATTTCCATAACAAAAGACAACTGCTTGTTCCCTAACACGAGTAAAGGCATTTGAGTTTAGTTACAAATAGAAGAATAGAAGCAGCTAATTCAAATTTATATATCTCTGCACAAATTCTCGTATATGCATAAAGGTTTGAATGTGTAAGCTTGAGTTTGGACAGATGAGTGGAATTTTGTGACTGTGAAAAAAAAGATGCACAAATTAAGTCATATAATTTTAAAATTGGTTCCACAATGATAAATTGCAACTACGCTGTGATTCTTAAAGTTGCTTTACCCCAGCTTTGTCCTACAGATTTGATTTTGGTGTCCTGTCTTAATTCTCTAGCTTGTGATACAATTGAGATTTGAAAAGAAGAAGATAACTTCTGTAGCATTTGAGAAGCACATAGAACATTTTATTTAAAAATGATCTGCAAAGCTAAGTCAAAATTGAGGCACAATAATTTTGTTCATCTATTTGTTTGTTTGCACAGGAGGGATACAAAAGACAATGTAGCATATAAATTATTACTTTAAAATAATGTTGATATACATACTTGTCTTTTAGATTTGCAGGAAACTCTTCAAAATAATGCTTGGCAGAATGTTACAGATACTGGAACCAGTTCGGTTGTTATTTGCTTTCTGTTTTTTCATGTACAAATGCACAGGCATATATGCTCATATACTTTGTACTTCTGTACTGCCATTAAGACTAAGGCCTTTGATCAATTACAATATCAAAAAGCTTAGCATCACAAGTTTTATTTTGATGGGTAGATAAAGATCAGCCCTACTACAAAAAAAGCGTGGTGGTTAAAACGATCTAACACAAAGGTCATGCAGCAAGTTGTGGAAAGAGACCTGTGGAAGCCAGCTTTTTTCTTTCTTTTTTTTTTTTTAATACAAATATTTTAAAAAACTTACTGTGTTTTTATGTTAAACGGAGATATGAATTAGGAACTGGTTTTAAGGTACTTCAGCTCTCTTGACCCTACTTTGGAAACAGCTGTTTCAAAAAAAAATTCTTATAAAAATTACAATATTTTTTCTAAGGGTTTTTTCTCTACTTCTTTTATTGCAAGTCTAGATTTAGTATCTGTGGTTTATTGTAATTATTACTTAAGAATGGAATATAACAATAGCAGCGCTCCACTTTTTTGCTCTGACAGCATTATTCTCAGTATTTCTAATTTACAGTCGATCTAATTTTCAGGGCTGCTCAGAATCTTATGAAGTGGCAACAGAAATCTACTCCTGTGTCTGAGCATAGTGTAAAGTCTGCTGTTACGTGGCTCTGGAAGCTGGACCATATGACAGCTGCCAGCCATATCAACTCTGCTGAAGCCCTGCTGGAAGCCATGAGTGATGAGGCGGTAAGCTCATACATCTTTTCAGAAGTCTCAAGTAAATCCAAAAATATGCAGTGCCAGACTGGCTACTGTGATTTGCCCTGATGAATATTGCAAAGATAAATATTAATGACGGCATTTGGAAAGATTTTTTTTTTTCCCCCAAGGGTAGCTGCATACTATGTTTACTGATGGCCTGTTTATGTAAATGTACTGTATTTTAATGCAGAAACTTGTTTATTTTCTTTTCTAGAGAACATAGAATAAATAACATATTCAGTCATTAATCTCCTTCATAAATTTTATTAACACTTTCAACTTGCAGTGTACAAAAAATTGTATGTAGATTTCAGTATTGTCTGTGTATGAATAACCAGAAATTAAAATCTGTCCAACAGTGAGATATCTATTATTTTTTTTCTGGACATTGGTGGGCTAATGGGTAATCTGGGGGAGTCAGTTGTGGCAGGTGCTCAACGTAAAACAAACTTCAATTACTCCTAGTCATTCCTAACCAACAGTTCACTTGAGTGCAAGCTTCACTGTACTGCAGGCTGGGGGAGATCCCATTCAGAGCTAGGAAAAAGCTGCATGCTCGCTGAACAGTTGTAAATTATTCATTCCTCAGAACTGGCTTCATCGACAGACGTTGCTCCAAAACAATAGCTCCTTTTTTCCCTAGACTTGGCTTTTCCTGTCATTCTTTTAGCTGAACTTTTCTTCCCATGTGTGGTGACTCCCTAGATTTTCTTTCCTCATGACCTGTCCAGTCCCAAGCTCAAGATCACTCTGCTGTAAGGTTGCAATCCTTTGAGCTCTACCTGCCACAGATACATCCGCAGTGCTTAAATTGCAGTTCTGTACAGGTGCTGCTCTGCGAAGTGTGGGTCACCCATGCAAAACACACCACCTACCAAGGTAAAAACTGTGATGAACTGTTCATGTTGTCCTCATTCCTCTTTTTTTTATTAAGTTTATTTGCTTGTTTAGATGGCTGCATAAATTATAATTTTCAAAATATGAAAGTCTAAATGGAAAGGTTTTAACCCTTCCCCACTAATCTGTGAGGAACATTTCCTTTGTGGCATGGTATTGCTGGGTTTGTAGTTAAGTAGAGTTAATTATCTGTGGTTAGCAATTTTTATTTATTTTCTTGTGAGGACTTGGTTTTGCATCAGCAATGCCCAAGAAATGTCTGCATTTTAAAAGCTGCATAGGCAGGCAGTAAATAAATCCTTTGCAGGAAATTGATAACCTATTGAACATCAAGTTTATGAATTATTGGCAGTCTTAGGAGAAAGGGGGAGATGTGAATCTGAGGGAACACCCGGGAATGTGGTTGTACAATATGCATGCATTCCCCCAGGTCAGGAGCCTCTTCAGCAAAAGGAATAGAAACAAGGTGTTGTCCAAGGACTGGATCTCAACTGGGAGAGCTGTGTGCATGCTTGGATAGCTTTTTAGCTGGATGAAACAGAAAGGGAACCTTGTAAAACTGAACTAAAGCACAAATAGGTGCAAGAGGTTTTTAATTTTGTTGCTCTGCACCTTTTTCTAAAGCTACTAAGTATTTTGTTAATCTTGCACTTTAATCAAACACATTTATTCTCCTCTTTAACCTTAACATTTGTTTAGCATTAACAGTGATGTCAGGACACCTGGCTGACAACAGACCTGCTTGCTCCCAAGAAAGTGTGGTCTATAACCATGGGCTCTGCCTCCCACAATGGAGTGTCTTGCCCCCTCTACAAGACCCAAGGGAAGCCCAAGGTGGCAAGGTGCTGCTTTGTTAATTTGCCTGGTCTAGCCTGAGATTGGATTGCTGCTTGGGAGCAGTGCTTTCTAGTGTTAGCCCAAGATTTCTTCCAGGACTAGCCCAAGTATTTGTGGCAAAAGATAGAGGAAGGAGAGAGCTTGAAATCCAGAAGTCCATGTCAGTTTGTATCAACATGCTTATGACGTGGGAGAGCACAGGGATCCTACAGCCTGGAACCTTAGAGTCCAAACTTGACAAAAGATGTTCATGTGCCAGTCTGTTGACTCAGGGAGCTGAAATAAAATCAGTATCGAAGGTAGTAGTGGAAATGCATGAACACACTTACAGGTGATAGTGAATTTGCTTTACTACTGCATGAAATTATGTGGGTGCAGTGCCATCCCAGACTCAAATAGTTGTCTTCTCTTTTGTGGTGCATGTCCTGGGATTCCTAGTCATATTCAAGTGTGTTTTCTCAGTTAAACAACTATTTATCAGATATTTATCAGTTGGTATGTAACACACTATAAGACTGATATGTTCGACTTACTGTCTTGAACATCATCATGGGATAGCTGTTGTTACATTTATTTTTAATGATGGTGAAAATTCAAGAAGCATACTTACCATGAGGATTGTTAGCATGGGTAAGTGCAGGTAACATCATATAATGTCATACTCAAGCAATGACTAAAGGACATTTCTTCAGCTTCTTTGTCTTCTTGCAGTAACATTTTCAGAATGTAAGTGTGTGTGGTCATAATAAACCTGTCAAGCTCCCTCTGCCCTGGGAAGTATAAAAAATATGAATTATCTGTAAATACCATCAGTAGGACTCAAAGAATGATGCATCTTTCCTACCCTTAAAATACATGCTGCCAGTAAAAGCATGTCTGGTGTAAAAGTTCCTACTGATTTTCAGCCCTGGCAAGGCACCAACATAGCATCTCTCTTCATAAAAGTAGAATGTGGCACAGAGCACAGAGCCTTATCCTTACTAATACAGTTGTCCTTCTTTACACCTCTCTTTGGTTTCAGTTAACTTCTGTGAAAAGGGGCTTGCATTGGGCAGAATCAGACCCAGGGGCTGTGGGCCAGGCTCTCTTCTCACTTTAGGAAATTTTGTGTGGACTTCGTTTGAATTACTGGCATAAAAAGGATGGAGAACCAAAGATCTGAAAATATTACAGCCCAAGTAATGTATTGGTTCTACCAAATTTTCCTACTAGTACTCAGCATGGGACAGTGCTTGAATAAGTACTAAGTGTCTGTGTAAAACAATGTCTTCCAATTCCCAATTTTTTTCTGCTTAATAACAGGTTGAAGCTGTTTATTACTTTGCTGTGGGTGATGTTCCAGTGGACACAAAGCAGCTACTCCTTAAGAAGGTTTCTGATGGCCCCTGTCCAGTAAACACTGTATCTTTCAATGCTAGGGAAGATGAAACTATTATTTTTCTGAGAGACCTGAGCCGTTTGGCCTCTGGCAGGTATGGCAAATAAGAACCACAGTAATTATTTCAGTACCTGTAAAGTGCTTTGCTGCTAGGAATGGTATCAGAAGGTATCTGAATATAATCCTTGTTTTGCTCATAGGGAAAATGAGGCAAAGAGTTCAGTAAGTGATCGGCGGGAAACTGGGGAAATAGTCTAAGAGATATGACTAAAATGCAGGACCTACTTGAACAGACCAGCTTCTCCACATATGTGCTCACTGTGCTTGCAGAAAAGCCATTCCTTTTTTATATCCTAAATTGTCTGTCATCTGCTCCTCTTCTGAAGTCTGAAAAATTGTTCAGGGGAAAGGGTCACAACATAAACTGAAACAAGTTTTTATTGTATTGCTTTGTACTCTGGTAATATCCACAGGCACCAGCAAAGGATCTAGAGTTTTGTAGGATCAAGTGCCATACAGACATGTACTGAAAAGGTGATGCCTGTCCTAAATGGGCAGTTCCTGGAACAATAGAAAATTTATGTGGTGTTATCCATCAGGCCTGGCTGTGGTAACCATGCTCCCTAGCATCTATTTGGTGTGGTTGGTGGAAGTGGATATATTCCACATGGCTTGTTGGCTGCTTTATCCTGGGAATCAGCCACATGGTGAGAATCAGCCTTCACTAGAGAGGGATAATAAAACTTTAATTTTGATTCTGATATCAAAATAAGGAAAACAAATGAACAAACACAATGCTCCACAATAACAAACTCATGCTGAACAGCATGAGGGCAGTAGGAGTCAGTAGGTGTTTGTCTGCTTAACAGAAGTCACCGTGCAGTTACAGAGCTGTGAAATGGCTGCTAGCTCTTTCTGTTTCACTGTTGTTTGTGCAAGAGTGGGAAGACCTCCAGCAGTAGAAATCTCCCAAATGACAGCAGAGCAATTGGTAAGATGGCAGCTGCTTAGCTCTTTTATAGCCATCTGTGTTTAGAAGTAGCTTTTAAGAGGTGGAGTGTCTGCCAAAAAACAAGACTGTGGGAGAGTGTTATGTTTGCAATGGTCTGATGTGTGTCTAAAATTATTGTGGTCATTTGGAACTGTGGTACCTCCATTGATAATCAGGTACATTGCCGGTCACCACCCTTCATTTTCTTTTGGCAGTGTTTTTACCTCTTTTATAAAGGGAAAGTGAATATTTCTTGTATGTTAGAGAGAGGCAAGAAGGGTTGTGGCAGGGAGATGAGAGGAAAAATTTTGTTTTATATGACTCCTGCAATCTTTTTACATGAGTGTGGCTTTGGTGCAGAGACTTATTGGGCCAATTAATATCTTGTAGGTGGGTATTTGCCCAATAACTGTCTATAAGTTTGTTAGCTTTCCCACAGGAATGGCCAAGTTCATGGGCTTTTCATGGCTTGAGCCTGTTTCTAGTGCAGTTCTGTTTTAGAAATGCATCTTTTTCCTGCCCTGAGAGCTTTTCTGTTTTGACAAGGAGGGTAAATGAAGTCTGCTTGACTTCCTGATTTGTATGTTGATAATGAAATAAGTGTTCCTGTTGGGCTTTCAACTGGGAGGATAATCTGATAAAAAGGTGTTAGTGTCATCTTGGACATCTCAAATGATATGCTGGCTCAGCATGTTAAAAGCATTAATTAAAAATAGATTTCCAGGAGATTGAAGAGGAAGGTGCCTCAGAGTAATTGATACGAAAATGAAAAGATGTTTTTAATGAGAGGATTATGAATGTACATAAATGTATATAAAAGGTTTGATAATATTTATAGTGTTGTTGTCATTGAAGGTTTAGATGTCTTGAATGGATAAGCAAATAATTCTGAAGTTGTACACCACTATGATCTTGCACGTGTGACATAAATCTCATTAAAATTAGGAAAGTATTTATGTAGTTTATGTACTGGTGAAAACTCATTTTGTATTACAGATTCCATGCTTTTGCTCAGAAGAATGACTATAAAGATGCTACTGGACCTGCACTGAAATGTGAAGAGGATGGAAGAGGTCTAATTGCCCCAGATTCCAGAAAAGTGAAAGGGCGAATGCCACTAGGTAGACAATATAAAACCCAAGATGATACTGATTTTCTCAGTGAGGTTTCAGAATAGAAATGTAATACCGGAACTTGCTAAATGTAAAATCAAAAGAAGCCTTTTGTAGGCATGGGTGGGGTGAGGACAGGACTAGCCAAATGGAAATTCTATGGGTGGGAAGGAGGGGGCAAGGAAAAGAGAGAAGTGAAGAGAGTAGAGGATGTGCATGTGAGAATGAAAGAGAAGTGAAAAAAGGGAGAAGAAGAACATTTATTTAGGGAGATGAAGAACAGTCCTGGTGTGCTTATGCCAGTGACCTTATGGAAATGTGTAGAGAAATGGCAGAAAGGAAGAGGAATAGTGTAGAAGAATATCTGATACAATAGCCACATCAATACAGGCCAAGTTTATATGTAATATAAGGGGATTACAACCACATGAGGTTGATTTGTGTCTTTCAAGATCTGAATTTGTCATAAAGATGGACAACAAGTGTGGTAAAATAACCATAGAGAAGAAGGCGCAAAGAGGGGGGAAAGAATTGGTGGGAAAAAAAACAGGAGGAAAAAACAGAAATAAACAGTTTTACTGGGGAGTGGAGCTGGGCAGAAAACTCTCAGTTTATTATTGGTCACAGTGCTCCTTCCTCTGGGTAAGTCAGCCTTACTGTTAAGTGGGACTGAACTGTGGCTTAAGCCAGGTTGGGAGGAGACCAGCTTGTGGTGTGAAGTGAGATTGTATATTTCAATTCTGATGTCTTTATCATTGTGACATTAAATTTAAAAATGCTTTCTTTTAAATATCAGGAGGCATAAGACCTCTTTATTCTAATGGCTCACATCTCCATTATACTGGTGGGCATTAGTTTTGCCCCAGAGGTAGGACGGTGTTACCATTTTCTTACTTCTAGGGAATGTATGGCATAAGGTGGATTTAGTGAGTCACCTAAGGTCATTTGTCAGTCTTGGAGTAACTGACACATATTTCCTGCGTTGTAGTCTAGTTCCTTGTGTACTAACTTATCCTTCACAAGGACCAGGTTTATAACAGTATGAGAGAACCATAATGTGGGGCCAGAAATAAAAGAGTGAGGTGTCACCTTGGTTTTTTTGCTTCATGAAAGGATACTCAAGCCTCACCCACATAGGGTTGAGGAACCAACAGCAGAATAGGCTTCAAAACTCTTATCTCTCATTTCATACTAATTTGGAGCTGTGTAATGATTGCCTTCAGTCTGCTACCAGTGCTTCCTTGCTGGACCCCATTTGGGGGCATATGTGGGGGGAGCTGGCTTCCTCTTCCCCTGGGCAGTCAGCCTGTTTCAATAGATGGGCCTAGAGCTCCTGTGACTGAAATTACTTCCTCACCACTGTTTCTAAAGCTGAAAGCTGAATAGCTCTAATCGCTCAAAAGGACAGTAATCCCCTTGAAGTGCATTGTCTGTTGTGTCTTATTGCTATTATAGAGCAGAATTTACACATTAAAAAGGAACACAATTAGCTTTCTTCATTTGCTGGGTATTATAAGCACAGTTGTGACATCACTGGCAGCCAATCGGAGCGTTTCAGTTGTATGCAGAATATAAAGTCCTTTCAGAAAAGAAAACACATTGGAGACATTATTCTGGTCTGTGTCTGATGTCTCTTGTTTCAGAGACTCCTTCAAGGGTGTAGTAGGCAATAATAATAAAAGTGTCGATTACTCACTAATGGGCTCTGAAACTGGTTCTTGGATGTGTGGCATAAACTATACAAGGAAATAAATAGAGAGTGAACCAGAGATTTAATCTTCCAAATGTGGTGTTTCTTGAAAATAAGGGGAGGCACAGGAATATTTTGATTATGTTTCTTTTTGCACCACAAACAAAGCAGCTGGAAACTGAAACTCATCATTATGTTTTATGGACTGGAAAAGCTGTTTTAAGTACATCTGATAGTTTTCTGTGTATCCACTGTATAACAGCATTTTGCAAATACAGGGTATCTTTATTCTTTTTCATCTGCTTAACCAAAACAAGTCGGAAGTGAACTATTTAAAACTTCAGATAAGAGCTCCATTCTCCCCTGTTTTGCATCTTGAGCAGTCATTTAGAAAGCAAGCATGAGAAACTGCCAAATTTTAATTTTTTTTTACACTCATTTTGAGTGGGTGCTCAAGATCAAGACAGGTGTAAGCCAGTAAAGAATTAAGGTCCTTATGTTGGCAGACTCAGATTTACTTAAGACAGAGAAATGCTTTACATAAAGCCTAATTTCACCAATGTGTTGATAACCTCCTCATCCAGCACTGATTTTCCTGTTAATGCTTCTGCCTACATTCTCTGTGTAGTGTCTTCATCTGCAAAAAGCTGCAGAATTAAGCAAACCTGTTATGTAGCTAAAATTCTAAGTGGAAAGGAGGTGAAATTTAAGTTGGAACTTGAAGACCTAGAGGGCAAGAGATGGTGGAAACTGTAGAGAAGAAGGTTTGTGTTGAAAAGGGGCACAGTTGTGTCATCTACTTGGAGTGACAAGGAGATAAGAGCTAAACAGGGCTTGAAAAGCAATGGCGTTTTGAACTAGATCCTGAAATGAATAGTGGGACCTCACTGACTGAAATAGAAACAGCAGTAAGTCTCTGTACAGTGTTTTTCTGTGTGGGGGAATAGACGAGCTGGTATGTGTAAAGAAAAAGCAAATGGACTGAAATCAGAATTTGGCTGATATGACAAATCCAAAGAGGGATGTGTCTGACCTCCTTGTGAACAGCATAAGGCTGTATTTTTAGGAGTGCTTGATTTTCTACATTTACCTGATGGTCACAGGGAAAATTTCAGGTTGCTGTGTGTAAAATGGGAAGTATAAGAGCACCAGCCTCCTGTATGACATTGAAGTCAATGAACTCTGCACTGTTCATGTACACAGACATGGGAGAGACCAAACCCTCCCTTTGGAGAGCCAGGATAATGACTTACGAGTAGCTATTTTGCCTACAGGCTGTAGCAAAGATTGTTGACTATTTTTTTTCCTTGCAAGTGCTTTGTCTAGTCTTAGCAGCTTAACCTTGGCCTGGCAAATCTCTTTCCTGATGTGTAGAGAGTGATGCAGATAGTCCTCTGTGATACCACATGGGATACAAAGTTCATTTGCTTTGTCCATTTGCCCAATGGGAAAGAGGCAGGATCGGGGCTGCGGTGAGTTAAGGTGCTGCTTGACCTGGCAGGTACACAGGTTAAGCTGCTTACTCCCCTCCAGTGCTCCTTTGTATCTCCATTCATTCC